TTGTAGAAATGTAGCTCTAACTTCCAACTAATTGCTATTTTAGTTGGTGCTTATTATTATCACTAAACATTTGTACTACAGTTCATCAAGCTTTTTCAATCACAGTTGACACATTAATCTACTAATCAACTATATAGGTAGATTGAGTGAAGAATTTATAATCTCATATAAGTAGCAAATATAGAGGCTACAACAATCACAGTGTATACTTGACACATCTCTTTTATTTTTTGACAGTAGGATAAATTTTTGAAAATACAAGGGTACACTCTTTCTCTTGACCCATACTAGAGCTTCTCTTTAGGGTAACCAGCCCTACATTACCCTCTCATCAACTTTGTATCTCCACAAGCCAAAAAGGCTGAGAGAACTTTCTAGGTGAAGTGAACCTCTCAGGAGACAAGTGAGAGCTATAGAGTGCTAGTTGTATGAACAATGGGGATGCAGCTGAGATTTTCTGGAAAAAAACCCAAACCACTAGATCCAAATGGTTGTGTCAAAAGATGCTCTTTGCGTATGGACGTTTTCCTGTCTTGCAAGTACCAGTGTGTTCTTGGCCCTCCTAATTTCCTTTTCTATTGCCTGAATAGCAGAAAAAACAAAATTCACTGCTGGTGCTTCTTCTTCCTGGAAACTCCAGGCATCTTGTGGACCACTGCAATTGTGCTGATTTGCAAATCCTGAAACCAGTACCTTATATCTTCTAAGTTCCTCAGTTACCTACCCATGGTCCCATAGACCTTTGGTGAAATTATTATTTCCTGACCTTCTAATTAATCCCTTTGGTTACAATGTTGTAGGAAAATGAGGAACAAAGCACAAAAAGAGGCTTAGAAAAGAGCCTGCCACTAAAATAATTGTTTCTAAGAGCACATAGTTGCAATATGTTTGAAGAGTCACAAAAATCCAGAACAACGTGGAACTCACCCATCTGCCAAGACCTCCCTTTTTTTTCTACTTTATACATGATCTCTTATTTTAGATGTTTCTTTCTGAGAAAGAATTTTACCTTTTTAAGATAAGTGCTTTTTTTAGCTTTGTACATTTTTTTGGACAAAGATCTTGGAATTGGTATCTACCAACAGGAAATCAGTTGTCAGAGGAATTATTAGTGATTGTGTACCAGATACATTTAAAATCTTCATTTGTGTTCTTGCATGTATTGTGGATATTCAGAAATTTCGACTGAGTGACCTGCCTGGAGAACGTAACTGTTTTCAGCAAACAATAAGAAAAGTTCTCCAATACTTTCTGCTTAACTTTTTTCATAACAAAGTAACTACCCATGTATTTCTTCCATGATTAACTAACTAGTTCATTTGTGAAGAAAAGATTTCTGAAGCCATTTGGAATAGTGCGCTATAGTGACTTTACTGCTATAACAATAAACCTGACTTCAGAAGTGATATTCCACACTTTTTCTAAGTCTTGATTTCATTTTTCATTCTTCCTTTTGATTCTTTGTTTAAATCATTGCCTTTGAAAAGCTGGAAGGCATTTTGGAACGTCCTCTGCTATTTGCCAAGCCCAGGTTATGCCTACCATGCAATATGTGCTGCCATTTCCATTAAGCTTTAGAAATGTCTGCTTTGAAATTAATTTTTAATCTTCCAGTGGCACAAACTTCCAAGAGAGTTTGCTCATTTGTTACTGCCCTCTGCGAAGCAGGAGTTGCTCATGCCTAAGGCAGGGAAATGCAATGCACTACTAATTATTTGTCTCATGTTGCATCATAAATGGTTATTGGTTGGCCAGAGCGACTTATGCCAATTTTCATTAATAACTTAAATGTGAACAACTCTGTATAAAGTAACTTCAAAAGGAAAATATGTCAAATTGTTTTCCCTTGAACTTTTCCAATCTAATAATTAACCATATATTGCACTTATTAATCTCCATGGAAACCTCTACATTTTAAATGTGTGTAAGATAGAAGAGGGGAGACAGGCAAACAATGAATTTTTGGGGCTTTATCAATAGTCTTTTTCCCCACACAATCCACGGACTATGATGAGCCCCAAACTTTTCCTTAATCTTTGATTTCTCTTTAGAGGACAGCATAGTGGCTGTCTGTCCAAGTACAACTAACAGAGAAGGCAGCTTACCAGATGTGTGTAATTGCTGGCCAGTTTGCCCTCTGTTGTTCTAATAAAGCAATTTGAGGCAACAGTAACTACCTTCTGAACTCACAGAGTGACAACTTAAAGGTTTTGAAAGTAATCTTAACTCTATCCTACTGCACATTCAGCTAGTGATTAAGACATACATAATAGGCAATGCCTACTAGCAGAATATATGGACTTAGATAATATTAGGGATTTGTGTTTAATGGGAAAACATGAAATTAGTACCCATTCTGGATTATACTGAAATGACTGGATATTTTTCATTAAAAGCTGTTATGAAGACATTATTGATCTATTGATCCTAATGATTTTGTTTTGAAAAATTAATATAATCATATCTTCTTGGAGTATAAAGATTTTATTCCTGTCTTGTAAAATTAGTGACAATACAATTTGCATCCCTAGAACAAGAAATCCACAAAAATGGTGAGGGCTTTTGCTGTGGAAGATTAGTGAAGATAATGGTGAGATTGAGGTCAAAGAGAACAGAGCATCACTTGTAGTTATTCCTTCAGAGAGCTCCTTAACTAGGCTGGTTGTGTATTTTTCTTGTGTTCCCAAAGGTTCACCTAGGATCACCTATCCTATCCTACCTAGGATCACTTCTCTCCAGATTTCCTTACAATAGCTTATTTTGAGGAGAAATTGGCCACAGAAGTTCTTTCTGAACTCTTCTGTATAGGATTCCCCATTATTCAACAATAATTTTACCAGGTTTGTCATTATGTTTGATGAGGATTTTTAAACAATTTTTCCCTGACAATTCCATTTCTTTGCTTTATTGTTATGCTTTCAAAAGACCGAATCACCTCTGGCAAATATCACAAATATAAAAATTGTGTCCCATTGACCTGGGGTTTACAGGTTTGGGTTTTTTTTTTAAACATCCTATGTAGTTATTGATAGAACACAAAATACCATTACTTTGTAACAAAAATTGTAGGACTTAGCAAGCTTTGAATACCTATTTATGGCATATATTAGTGTGCCTGATGTTGTCATACAATGTGATGGCATGATATGTTTATGATACTGTGATACCATGTTGCATGTGGATGATACCATGGCATCATGGTTATACGTATATGACAGCATGTTAACAATAGCAGAACCTCCTCCGGCAGAGAACCAGTCTCATCTGTTGATTCAGGAATACTAAATGACCCCAAGGCCCTCTCAGGTCAGAAACAGTTTAAAGCAATCTGCTGAGTTTGCAGGAAATTTGCAAATGACTCACTATCAAAAGGAACCTAAACAAACCTTGTGGGATTTATGCTAAAGCTGAGACTAAGGCCAACACTTCCAAAAGCAAACAGCAGTTTCTGAAGCTCAATTTTGAGTGTATGATTTTGAAAGAGTCTTATTTTAATGAAGAGTTGCAAACAAGTGCCCCAAACTCAAAACATTTCAAATCATATGTTTAAATTCATGGGCTTTTTTACACTTGCTCCAGCCTGCAGAAGCAGAAGATGTTGCTCTCTAAGGACTTTCACAGGAGACCAAGATGTGAATCTTTCCTGCTTCAACTCCAATTAAATTGAGAAACTATTATTTCATTACTGTGTTGTCACAGCAATGGATGCTCTTGTTCCTCTTCAGAGTTCTTTGTCTCCTGGCCAGGTGTGGTCCAGTTGGATCTGGCATGTACTGGAGATGAGGTGAATTCTTGATGGCTTTTCAGTGGACTGGATATACCTCATGCTTCCCAGGACAGGCCCTGGACCTGGAATGACAGTGCCTGGAATTAGTGCTTCCCAACAAAGCAAACCAAGGGATTGGGCTCCAAGAACATGTTCCAGAAGGATACCTTTCCTGCTCTCTTGGACCAGAGGGATGGAGAACAGTGAGTCGTATGTCCAGGACACCACATTTTTAAAGGATAAACCACGGTACCAAAGGGCATGTTTTCTTCCTGTGTGGGGCAACATGGGTTCAATGAGAGGGAGAGGGAAGCTGAGTCATCTACAAGAGAGGTGGATGTTATTTGTAGGGACATGGACAATCTCCAACAGCCTTGCTGGCACCTCTCCCCCAGGAGATGGATATGTCAGTGTGGGGAGAGAAGCAGGTGTCTGACCCTCCTGTCTGGTGCCTGTCCTCACAGGAGTGAGGAAACAGGGACAAACCAAAATCTCTGCCTTTGGGCAGCCTTGCCCTCATTTAACCATGAAAGCTGGGTCTTGTTCCATTGTTCTGGACATCTGCCTGTTCTTCCACAAAGGGACAGGACTAAGCAGGAGCCTGCTGCCCTCATGACAGTTGATCAGGCTGCTACGGGGCTGCTGGCCAGGCCATCTGATAGAACTGATGGCCAGGCTGCCATGTGGGTGATGGTGAGTGAGACTGCAGTGAGGGTGATGATGAAGCTGCTGTGGAGGTGATGGTGAGTGGCATCGAGGAGGGATATCCCAGGCAGCTTTGGGGGTGATGGCTAAGCCATTGCGCGACTGTCAGCTGCTGCTGCTGCCATGAGAATGACGGCAGGGATGCTGCGGAGGTGGCGGTGGATGCTGCCTTGGCTGTCGTGGGGCTGACGGTGAAGCCGGTGTTGGACTGACAGGCGGGCTGCCGTGCAGCTGCCTGCTCGGCGGCTACAGTGGGAAAGCCTGCGCCACTGTGGGGGTGACAACGAGGGGACCGAGCCGAGCGAGCCCACCTCAGGCCGGAGCTGCTGGGGGCGGGCGCGGGGACCTCCTCCCCGAGGCCCCTCCGCCACCACCTGCCCCGGGCCCCCTGCGGCCCCGCCCCGGTCCCGCAGGAGGCGGCGGGGGTGTCGCTGCCGGGGGCGCGCGGGTGGAGGAGGAGGAGGAGGCGGGAGGAGGAAGGCGGCAGCAGCAGCTCTCGGGAGGAGCCTGTCCAGCGTGAGACAGCACATTCAGCCGGCGGCGGCGGTCCTGCCGCAGCGGCGGGCGGCACGGCACGGCACAGCACAGCACGGCTCGGCTCGGCTTGGCTCGGCTCGGCTTGGCTCGGCTCAGCACGGCGCAGCTGCCGGTCTCTGCCGTTCAGTCAGCGAGGCATCCCTCCGCTCCCCCGGCGGCGAGGGCTCAGTGAGGGCTGCGCGGCGCCGGGAGCCCCTCCACATCTCCCGGGCGCCGGCGGAGGTGAGGCACCCGGGGGGGCGGCGGGGCCGGGACGCGGCGGAGGAGCGAGCGGGGGCTGCCCTTGGGGCTCGGCGGTGGCCGTGGATGAGCCGGGCGGGGGTCGCTCTTCGGAATGCGCCGCGGCCGCAGAGCCCGGCGGGCGGCCCGGCGGGGCGACCGGCATCCCCGGCTGCCCACAGGGACCGGCCGGTCCTCGCCGCGGGTGGGCTCTGGCTCTGCCACCCGGCGGCTCCTCTACGGGGAGGGTTGCGGGGAGCGAGCCCCGCCGGCCTCGGCGGCACCTGCTCCGGTCCCTGGGGCGCCTCCCGGCCCCGGCCGCGAGTGGCCGCCGCAGGTTCCCGGCTGGTGGCTCAGCGCTGAACAGCTTAAAGCAAAAGGGAGTGGTAAAAGTTTTCCATCTATAATTTTTTTGCACAGCGTAAGCAGTAGCGGGTTTATTCAAGTCCACGACGACAGCGGACAGTAAATAGATCTTTTTTCCTTCCTAAGGTAATTTCCTAAAAGGGTGAGAGAAGGAGGGAGTCAGTCAGAGGCCTTTTTTCACCAGTAGTCCGTTGAAATAGATTTTCAAAAGGATGTTATTACAGTTACATCATCCCGGGAATCCCTCAGGGTCAGCAGAGAGCATAAGACCCCAGATATTTCCTAGACAAAGCCCTTGAATTACAGACTGGAACAAAATTTGGTTTTCTGCCTCTCTTGCCATTGAAAGTACAAATTTAACTCTAAATGCATATAAAATAGGGACTGTCAGGAGACAAAGCAATCTAACTTGCTGCTATAGGGGTGATGAGATGGAAAGACCTGATACGAAGTTGGCATGTTACTTTGGCACCTGGTAATTTATCCTGACACACAGGGTTTTGTCAGTGCTTCGGTTCCACATAAGGACATTAAGTTACATCTGAAATGGCTCTAAATATCATGAAGCACAGGACTGCAAAACCTGTTTCAGAATGGAAATCCAAATCCCAGGACCATCTATCTCCTGATAGGTGGTGTTATCAGAGCCATTGAGGAATTTAATTTCTATCACTACCAATGTACTTTGTTGAAGTGCCTCATCTGTTCTTGCTAAGTTAATAGGCAAAAGTTACACGTTTTTTATCCTGATGCTTTAAAGCTTTTTTTTATATACTTTCTTTCCATATGAAAGGGCATCTCCAGGAACATTCTCCACACTTAGGGAAGGCAGATAAAATTCCTTCTGTAATTTCTCTGTAGCATTTCTTTGCAAGAGTGGGTTTCTTCAACTCAAACCTTGCAGCTGCATCCAGATCTTCTCCCCATGGGAGTGTTCACTCTGGTAACTATCCTCTGCTTTATTTTCTTTTCCCAAAATCATCCATTTATAGACCACGAAAATAAAAAATGTGTTGGCCCTTCTCTACCTTCTTTGTGAACAGAGTGTTTTGAGGATTGGGACTTGACATTGTCTTCCTTTGAATGTGTAAGACTTCTGAGGGCCAGGTATGTGGAGATCCAAGAGACTGTTTAGAGTTGTATTAGCTGGATTTCTCCTAGCTCTAAGCATTTCTGATTCAAATTAGTCTACCCTAAAAATGCACTAACTGCAGTGCTGCCTTATCTTATTCCTTTAAGACAGTAATCTTTAAAGGAGCAGCAATAAACCACACCCTACACATGCAGTGGTTACTGGGAGTTTGGAAATCTGGCTACTCAAAAAATACTCAAGGAAATATTCTTTTGTACCCTGAAGATCTTAAATTAAGAAGCTGACCTTCCAGCTCTTTCTATAGGAGGAAGGGCAGTGAGCTGCCCTCCTTTGTGATGTCTTTCAGTTGCTATTTTTTTCATTATTGAAATGCATTTGTTTTCCGTTGTATTTTTCCAGCTTCAGGTTTCTGGTTCCTGTTATGCCTCTCATAGATAAAAGCCTTGCTTTAGCAGCTGTCTTCAGCATAGGTACTCTACATGATGCAGCAAGAACTTACCTGCTTTATTTTCAAATAAATTAACAGATCAAGTCTCTTGGTCTTCTTTTCTTTTGTAAGACAGGTTTCAAGAGTCATTCCTTGCTGCCATCTGTTTTCCAATCTGCAAGAAGACAGAGGGGGAATACTAGGTAGAGCTGGATGGAATGGATTGCATTAGAGGTCCCACCATTGCAGGATATTGGACAATGATGTGAAATGGGCTGGAAGGGATCAAAATAGAAAAATATAAGGCATTGTTTTTTTTCAAAGCTTCACCAACTCCTGCTAATGATTCAGATAATCATGTGGTATCTTTCAGCTCCTCAAACTTAACTTCTGCTCATAGAGGTTTAAAATATGCTCACGATTCCTCTCTAAGACTACTCAGTCATTAACCAGAGCTATGCCTTGAGTGCCTTGTTGAGCTCCTTAGACTTGGTTTGACCAACAATAGAAGTAGTAATTAGTAATCTTTCAGAGTCACCAATGCCTGGTGCCAAAATGAGTTGCTACTTGGAGGTGGTGGTGGAATGTTAACAGAATGATCCTCCCCGTCCTACCTATGAGATTTTATTTTCATGGAAGTTGATAGGAGGTAACACTGAAATCCTCTCTGAGGTGCATGTGGAAATTCATATCTGCAGAGATATGGTCTCAGGCTTCCTGCAGCCATAGCCAGACATCCTGATCTCCCAGTGCAATACTCATCTGATACTTTCAGATTTTTACTTTAAAAACTTTAAATGAAATAGTGTCTGTAGATGTAATCTGCATGTAAAAGGGACATTTTCCAGATGAAATACCAATGGAATATGCTGGCAAAGTGCCCTTAGTACAGATGCAACTTGTGTTAGTAAAACTGTGCTTTTGCCAGTGCAGCTTATTTTCATCATCTGAGCAACACAAGTCATACAGGTGAGCACACATTTATGTGTCCATGAGGGGCCTTGCTTTCCAGATGAGGGATTGAATGGTCTTCCCCTCAGCTGGCATATGTAAGCAGGCAGAAATGAAAATGCAGGAATGGTATTGCTTAACAAACAGAAAATTTGAAAAAATGTGAAAAGAAGTGTCTGAAAAGCTGTAGTGGCAGCCTGAGACGCGGGCTCAATCTAAATCTCAGATAGATGCAATATGTCCCTTTAGCTACTTGGTAATTATCTATCTAAAACAGTGCTAGCCCTTTTTAGTTAGAGATGACATTGGAAGCTGTTGTTCACTTGGCCATCTGCAAGCATTCAAAATCAGGCAGCATACATGAGCTTGCTCCAACAATACTGTTCATTTTACATGGCATTACCTTGCCAACTTTTTGGGGAAATGGCTACTTCCAGGCAGATGGCAGGAACTGCAGGAAGCTGTGAAGCAGACTGATGTGTGAGCCAGCAGATCTTATAGATACAAGACACCTCTGATCATCTGTGACAGGTGATGTACCAACTCCTCCTGAGCTTAAAATAAAAGGCCCTCTTTCTTTTTCACTGTGCTTCATCAGCACTTTTTGTCTTCCCTTTTTGAGGCAAAAGCATTCTGATGAGTATCTGGGAGTTCAGTGCTGCATGGAGAAGGCATGGAGCAGGAATGACAGGCATGGAGCAGGAAGCCTTTTGTGGGCAGCACACCATAACTCCATGATGAAGTTTTAAGGGCAGAGGGCTCACCCTGTCACTGCTGACAGCAATAGGAGTTTTTCTGTGACTTCTCTAGTGGTGACTCTAGCCTCTGGAGTGATGGCAGAAGTCAGCTAGGTACTTTGAGAGCCACAATGCATCTCCAAACTCTGTTGAAGGCAATGAGAGTCTTTGCATTGACTTAACAGATTTTGGATGAGATCCTGTACAACTTCTGCACTGGTCTGTGTGCAGATATCTGTGTTACCTGATGAATAATCACTGCTTAGATGACTCTTGTGATTCTTGGCTGTTAATCTTACAGTAAAAGTACGTTATCCTATTTTACATTTAGCACTGTTCCCATGCATTTAGATCAGCTTGCCTGATCCAGAGAGACAGGTGACATCAACCTGAGGAGCAAATCTCCTAGGAGGCCTTCTGGAGCAGTGCAGTTCTACCCTGTGTGTTTCGCAGGTGCTGGCTGACTGTCCCTGCTTGGCCCTAGAATAATTAATGAGTAATTTGACAGAGGGAGAAGGCTCATTTACTGCCACTCAGCAGAAAACAATTACAGAGGGAATCTTTTAAGGACATAACTTTTTGTTTTCAGTGATATCTTTTCTTCACATTTCTTTTCCTTCTTGCTATCATTCCTTTTCTCTCTTCCTCAATCCTTGTCTTACCACCACATTCCGTCCTCACTGATATTCCCTTCCCCTTTGTCTTCTCTCCCTGGAATAGAACTGATTTTAGTTCCTTGCTCTTTTCTCCCTCCATCTGTGGTGGGGTACAAATAATTGTAAATCCTGCTCCTCAGTTACTAATCTTTCACTTCAGCCCAGCAGAAAGATGCAGTGTGTTTTGTGTTCAAACAATGGGGAGTTGTAGTAGGGCAAAGACACAAAACTGCCTAGTATGATTAAATATAAATAAGTTTAGTGGAGGTTATATTTTTTATCTGTTTATATCACTATGGGGACCCCTGGTGGCCTAGTGGTTAGCATGCGGGACTCTCACCGCTGCGACCCAGGTTTGAATCCCAGTCCCCCCAGGCAGATGGAGCCTGTTAGCCCTGTGAGGCCATCCATCCATGAGAAGGTCACTCTAAACAAACCTACGTCCTGAGGACCTCACTGCCATTGTCCAAGCTTGCTTGGCCCCGGCAGATGAACCTTAGGATTAAAGGGTGGGCTCAGTTCAGCGCAGGCTGTGTCTCACCTAAAAAATCCATTGCGCAGGCTGGAAAGGTAAAAGACCTTTCCCCAAATCTTCATTCGCGAAGACTGGCCATTATTATTATTATTATTATCACTATATCCAAGCCTCGCTTGATTATAATATTTTCAGGTTGAATTCGACAAAAAAATCTATGCTATGTTAGTATTGAAACTATGCTATGTTAGTGTTGAAAGTTAATCACTGTAGGTCTTATACCACATGCAGAGAAAAT